AGATATTGTTCCAGATAGAGAGCCCTCTGTTGTGGAACCATCTTGGTCAGCCTTGGGTTTTTCATCACTGTCAACTTTGCCAATAGGAATACCTGGATTGCTTTCAGTATTTACATTCAGAGAGCTGCGGATATTTCCATCAGGTTCTGTTAGAGTTTGTGATTTTTCGGGGACAGTTTGCTCTCTTTCAATATTTACGGCAGAAGGAGCTTCATTGGATGAGTGTTTCTTCTGCTGCTGTAGGGAAATATTATTATTATAATGACACAAGAACCTAACATTTTAAATGTGGTTACATAGATCATTTACCAAGACTCAAAGACAAAAAAAGAAAAAAACATATATATACCTTCGCTCTTGTTCTAACCCTCTTTGCTTGAGATCCTCGTCCAGTAGAACCTGTGTGGTTGAGAAAGAAAAAAGAACAAAAGAAGATTAAAAAAACAAATATTAATGACTCCCTCTAAAAATTCACATCCAGTAATCTGGGGTTGGTACGAACTTATCCTTCTCGAGTTTTTCCAACTTTTGTCTAGGGTGAGGAATTTATCCCCTAGTAATGATGAAACAAACCTTCATGCTTATCCCTAGAACATCACCTATTTAAGCCTCGCAAACCATTTAGAGAATGGAGCCCAACTCCAAACTATAGGTAAGGCAAAATTTAACATAGACCTGACTTATATGTTGATAATCGAGCAACCTGGGGTGCTTCTCAGTTTATTTTCTAATCCAAACATAATATAATTTTGTGCGCCTATGATTTTATTTGTTGGGATAAACCACAGATTTTTGCAGGCCACTCTATTCGCACAGATCTACTCTTTATTATTTTTTAACTTTCTTTAGCATGGGCGGAGCAGTATGGCATCATTCAAGCTCATAAACTCTCTCTTCTTTGTCTAATTATTGTTTCACTGATCTACTGCCCCATTATTAGGTTACTGCAATTCTTCATGTCTCATGAGTCTAAGCACTGCGTAGTAATGTAACTAATTTGGACTTCCTCGCGAATATATTTCTATTTATAATTTAAGAAATCACAAAATTAACATATATAGAAAGTCAAGCACATTAAAAAGTGGGATACTGACTAGTCTGTGTTAGTGAATTCAGCTTCATAATTTTGCAACCAAATGCAGATTTACTCAATTTGGTGAGATTTGCAATTAAAGTGAGAGGTCAATGACCGTTGGTATGCCAAAAGTGGAGTAGGGGTAAAGTTGGAACTGTCGCCAGTCGGTCCACTGTCACTAAATTATTATTTGGAAAACTGTTCAAGTTGGCAACAAATCAACAAAAATTGGAATCCAGATAACCTGAAGTGCTGATTAACACGGAAATCCATAAATCTAGGTCACCGTTTTCAATTGATTGTTTATTTATAAATCAAGATTCATAGGAAAAGGAATAATAACTCAGATATATACCTGGGGTGGGATCAGGCGGCAGCTCATCCCCTTTCTCACCAACCGCAAGTTTCGCCTTTCGATCCACTACTTCAAACAAATCTGGCAGAAAAACACAAGCACCAAATAACCAGAGATTAGCACAATCCCAATAACAATTTTTCTTATTACAAAATCAGGCAGCTATAAAAAAAACATTAAATAGTAGGGTTTAATTAGATCATATATTTCTCGAAATGCAGAATCCGGATCAAAACAAGCATTCCAGCAATGCGGCAAAATCATCACTACATAAAACATCAAACTACAAATTCCGAAATGAATATAGTACGAGCTATGAGAATCGAATCGAATCGAATCGAACCGAACCGAACCTTCGGCAGCTTTCAGCCACGAAGCCATCGAATAAACCCAATTACTGTTAACAGAAAACGCCCTATAGACTTTGAATCATCAAAATGGGGATAATCCGAAAAGGAATCAACTGCCCTAATTTAATTTCACCCTTGTAAGTATCTGAGATCGACGAACTATTGCAGTGGATGAATTTCGAGAAGAACAAATGCAAATTGTTGATAATAATAATTAATTAAAAAAAATTAATAATTTGGCAGGAATTGCTCGAAGGTAGATCGCGCCTTTGTTAGTTTGTTTGTTATGGGGCCAGGCCAGTGTGCATTTCAAGCAATGGGGCGGACTCCATTACGCCGTCGTATGCAGTTCACGAATACAACCATGAAATTTAGACCGGGCTAACTAAACGGGCCTTATTAAATGGGCCGTCTGTTTGGGAAAATATATGGGCTTTATTGTTTGGTTTGGTTTGGCGTCAATTACGAAAATACCCCTGGATAAGCTTTTTAGGAGCCTACGCAACACGTAAACTTTTAACTTCTTAGCGTATTCGCATTTTTCAGGACACTTGCCGGACGGACACCTGTCGGACGGACACCTTATCGTCATTTTGTAATTTCTGAAAAGTTAGAAACATGTATGAATAGCAAATTTCCAAAAAAAAAGTTTTTGTTGATTTCTTAATTATTTATTTTGAATATATTTGTATTGAAATTTATATAAATGAAAAATGATATATGTTTATTTATCATATTTATAAGTATACCCCTATACTTCTAATATTTACATATTTCCCCCAAGTTTTTGTATCCCTACTTTCGGGACATACCGTTTCCCCGTGTTTGTTTTCCCGTTTTTCCGATCGTCATTCCTTTGTCCGTGCTACATAAGTACATAACTAGGAAATCATTCTATTTGTAGAGGATGGTAAGTTGTATGGGGAAAAGTAGATATTGATGTAATTGTATTGGATTTTAATCTCACCCGTTTAAAATGGATTAATAATCAATTAAAATATAGCTTAAGCCTTGGGCTGCAATTTTTAGCTTAGGCCAATCAAATTGTTTCTATTTTATTTATTTATTTATTTATTATGATGCATGTGTATCGAATGTAAATCCCATTGGGTACATTTTATATAGTGAGATTTACGTTAGATATAGGCATCATCAATTCATAATCATCATAAAAATAATGCACCGTATTGATGTGAAACAAAATTAATGTGCAATGCCACGAGCCTCATAATTTGGCCCCAAATTAAAATTGACATCAAAATTAATGACCCACAAAGACATTTTGGGCACCACAAGGGCTAGTGGATAAATATGATAATTGTGGAGCCTATCCAAATAAATTAATATACAAGGTGGAAAAGAAAGAACAAAATGCTTGAGAGAGACACTTCCTTATTAATCATGGACAACTTATTAGGCGATTAGCATGAAATATACAGTTAAACATTTACAAATTATAAAATCGGAATTACGATACAAAAATTTATTAGTTTATCGGAATATTTAAATAATTAATATACTTGAAAATTTTAGAAGACTAGTTGATGGCAAAGACATTCAAGAAATGAAAATTTAATCATACGTCTAGATTACCACCTTATCTAAAAGTTTAAACTGTGGAGGAAACTGCGTCATTTGATACTTAATTAATAAAGAAAAACAATAAATATGGCTTGATATTTTAATAATTATAACAAGGAATGTTTTTTTTATTTCACAAATTTAAGAAATCATATTCATACACCAAAGTCACCAACAGCAATTAATATTTGATAATATCTAACTGGTGACTAGATGTCTGGACAACCAAAACTTATCAATAAAAAAAATTTCAAAAAAAAAAAAAGAACATAGTATATTGCCACAAACAACAGGATCAAGAAAAACGACGATCGTGTTCCGCAAGGGATGATCGATTGGAGCAAGTAAGTCTGTGTCAATTGATTCAGATTTTAATCCCATTGTCATACGAGAGTGTATGTAGATTTACACAGTGCATCTATATAGTTGGTTGCGGGTTCTTTCGTTATAAAAATAAAAATAAAATGACAGTCTAACTTAAACTGAGAAGATAGTTCCTTCTATTACATGCATGAAAAGTAATTAATATTTTAATTAATATTCAACCCAAAACAGGTCCACAAATTAACCTATATATACAAAGTAGAAACAAATTCTTAACTAATTAATCAAAGAAAAATGTACTGAAATTTGGTAAAATTACAAATCCAATTTTCAACTTCATAGATAGATAAAAGTAAATAACATGCTTGACCTTGTACGATTTTGATCAAGTTTGGCTAACTTTGTGGCAGATATTAATTGGTCTTTAAATGTTGCGGACCACGTAAAATTAACCCCCCCTAGGCCCCCATGTTGGGCCATGAAATTCAATGCCACCACATAACATAACAAAAAAGTCCTTGCCTTCCAATTAATTTCTTCACCAATAATCATCTAGTTAATTATCCCATAGGCGTGGTAT